GGGGGGGTATCAGGATGGGTTTGGGAGTAGCAGGATGGTTTGGGGGTGGGCAGGATGGGTTTGGGGGTGGGCAAGGATGGTTTGGGGGTATCAGGATGGTTTGGGGGTGGGCAGGATGGTTTGGGGGGCGAGTGGCCTCTCCAAAGGAAAGGGGTAAGAAGAAGGTGAGGATGCTCTCGGGAGACCCCCTGCTTCTGGGCATGGGGAGTTATCATCGTTCCTCCACAAACTAATGTGCGTGTGTGATGCGAAGAGGCGGTGTTGGGGAGCTGGAGAAGAGGGGATGGCTCCCTCCTTGGAGGGAGATGGCGGGTGGGAGCCATGCAGCACCCCAGAGGGCCCAAACCCTGCTGGGTTACCTCCTCAGGGCTGGAGGTGGCAAAGCTGCTTGCAGAGCTGCTGAGAAATCCTGGGATGAGGGCACAGCCGGCTGGAACAGCAGGCCAAGCCCGGCAGCCTGCCCTGCGGCTGGACCGCAGCAAAGACCGCAGCGGCTGGTTCCCCTGGTAGGGATGCTCTCTGGTTGCATCAAGAACTGGCCGTGTTCCCTGGCCTTGTGCTTCAGTCAGCGAGGCAGAGGTGTAAATCTTGAACGTGCAGATTCGGGAGGTCCGGTCCTGGCTGCAGTCTCCCTCCTGATCCATAACCCCGGGCGCAGCCGGCTGGATGTGGATGTGGGAGCCCCGTCCATGGGGACCGATGATGTTATCTCTCATGTGAGCCTGCCACGTGAGGAGTTGTGCAGCAGGAGAGAAGAAATTTGAGGAGCCTGCAGTTTGCAGGTTTGGTTTTTTTTGGAATATACGATAGGCCTTTAATGAAATGCTGCTGGGGCTTGTTCTCCCCCGTCCTGTGGTGACAAAGCGATGCTGCTCGGTGGCTGGCAATTTGAGGGCTCCATCCTCATTTGGACTTCTTGCTTCTCCTGACCATGAGAAGCTTCAGTGGAGGAAAAACATCCTGCTCAGGGGTATTGGCAAAGGGAATGAGGATCAAGAAGCAGATAAAAAAGCCTGCACGTACTCTGTGCTGTGAAGATGCTGGTACTCGTGGTTCCCCTTCAGGGGGTGGTTTCAGTCCACCGCACACCTCAGCATCGTGTTATTCTTCGGGTCCGCTCCATCTTTCATAACCACTGGCTTGTGTTGGCATTTACTGCTTTACGCCGATAAATAAAACACTGCGTTTAGGGATGGAGAGGGGGATGGTCAGTCCAACTGAAATACACGACAAGGTGTTTATTTTTTTAAAAATAAGGCAAATCACCCTTTTTCTCCTGCTCCGTCAGTGCTTGCCTTGAAATGGGGGTCTTACGGAGATGTGTTCAAAGGGGAGGAACTGTAGCTGCAAGGTCTGGTTTGCCAATGGTTTTTCATACCGACCTTTATGTGACGAGCACCGTACTGCTCCTGTAAGCCCTGCTTTTGCAGGCTACCAAGGCACTTATTTTTACGGAGAGGATATGCATTTATCTTGCTGAAGGTTGCATGAAAATGCATGGGGCTGTTCTCTACTCATTGCTACCTTGAAAGCAAACCGCACCCGAAAGGAGATGATATTGTCAGGTAGCGCTGGCAAGCGAAGCCCAGATTTGTCCCGTGTAGGTGTAGATGCTCAGCGAAGGCGTCGAAGCTAGAAATTTAGTTGTCAAAGCTCCATCTTTTCAGGAAGATAGTTTTTAGGTGGGCTGAGTTGCTCTCTGGAGGTCTCCCGTTTCCAGTGATTTCGGATGGAGCCAGGAGGGACAGTGCTCCTAACGCTAAATAAGAGCTCGCTGGGACGAATCTGGAAATTTGAATGCTGCAGGGGTTTGTACTTGGATAAAGTTTCAAGCAAGTACAGCAAAGCCTTTCAGAAACTGTAAGGGAACCCAGCATTACAAACAGGCCCTGAGAGGGCAGCGCTCAACGGGGAACCCACGAACATGAAGCACTCGATTTAAAATCGCGTGCTGAGGGGGGCACGGTGCGGAATAAGCTCCTCATTCCCAGCTCTCTCTTCTAGCTGCCAGCCCTTGTTCCCCGTCCGCTTTTCTCCTGCACAGAGACCCGTTTGCTCCGCATGTGTGGTTTTATTTATTTACTTACTTATTCTTTCCTCTCTAGGCTTCTGGGCCGATCGAACACCGGTTCATGAAGCGGCCAGGCGGGGAGAAATCCTGCAGCTGCAGCAGCTGATAGAGAGCGGAGCCTGCGTCAACGCGGTCACCTATGACTCTATCACCCCGTTGCACGAGGCGAGCCTGCGAGGGCAAACGCAGTGTGTCAAGCTCCTGCTGGCTGCAGGGGCCCAGGTGTGTAGTTGGGTCTGATCCAGCTGGGAACATCACCCTGATGTCCGAAGTTATTTCTGGGATCTGGATTCTCCCCATCTAGCTCGAGGCTCTTCTTCATCACCCTGGGCTTTCTTGACAGTCAGCAGAGGATGGCAGGCCTCTTCAGAGGTTGTTTGAGCTTAATGAGGACTTAAAAAACTGCCTGGAAGTATTTCTCTCTCTGTCTCTCCCCCTCTCTCCTCACTGACTATCAACAGAGCCCAGGGTGACTAGAAATCTAATTTAGATGACTCAAGTATCTAAAGCTAGCTGCGTTGAATCAAGAGGCCAGAAGGGGAGCAGGGGACGTGTAGCTTCCAGACGGGATTTATATATATTCTCTTGTTTCTTCTTCTATTTCTTTAATTTTATTATGGAAACAAAAATCAGCTAAGCAGGGTCTTTGGATATAGCTGACGATGACTGTCTCTGAGGACTTGTGACTTGTCACACGCTGAAGACGGCTCTCCTCCGAGCAAAGCTGGTGGAGCGGAGCACACGTGCGCTCCGTGGTCCTTTGGCTGAGTCCGCCGCCGAAGCTGGACTTTGCACTAAAGCAGAGAGGAGTTGCGTTGTGTTACTCAACTGCAACGCTTG